TCCATACATCAGGTTCCAACCAGACTTCCTTTGATCCCCCTGGACTCTTGGGGTCCTCCAGGGTAGGTACGAGAGGCCTGTTCCTGGCAGGTTGTCTGAGATAAGATTAATCTTGCAGGAGGCCCACCAAGTTCATATCTGGAGGGCCACTTTGGGCCGCAAGAACCCTGCAAGAATAAAATATATAACTCAAGCAACTTAAACAATGAAGAGTTAATAAAATCACACACCAGAAAGCCCAGAGGTAGGTGGTTCCAGAGTTGGTTAATTAAGTGATCACATGGCCTTCTGTTTATTTCCCTGTTGTCATCCTGAACTTTTGGAAATGTCCTTCTCTACATTAGTCTCAGCGTGACAAGAATGCTATGTTAAGGGGCTTTTGTGGGTAGCAGGAGAAGGGAAGGGTGGAGCCTGGGTTTCAGCCGGCTGGGTAAGTGAGTGAGTCACTGAGTGGCTGGGCTCTTTCAGCCCCATGTAAGGACAGGCTGTAGCCACCCACTGCCCGCCCGACTATGTCTGGACAGAAATGGGCATGTCTGCTTTTCAACGGGCCTCACCTTGTGCTTGGATAACCCTGTGTATCAGGAAGGCCAAAGATGCTTATCACCTCTTTTCTCTCCAAGAGTCACAGGCCCCCAAAACAGAAACGACTCCTGGCCTCACCTGTAGATCTAGGCCTAAGCTGAACAGAGAACCCAGTGTCCTGTTTCCAGCTTGGTGCTGGATTCCTTGGAGTAGGAAGGGCCAATCAGGAATGAAAGAAGCTCTCTGGTGCCTCTTTCTACTTTGGGCTTTTTCTGAATCTCATCTCCAGACCCCTCATTCTGTCTACATAACTGGTTCCCCCTTCCTTTTCCCAGGGAGAGCTGGGAGGGAGAGCTGGGAGGTAGGGCTGGGACAGAGCCTGGTGGTAGCAGAGTCTTCCCTGATGTCTTAGTCTTTGGTAGCATCTGATAGCATAGACCTAGCCATGACTGAGGCCTAGAAGCATCTGGGACTGTGTGAGCTGGAAGGAACCTGAGAGCAATCTCTCTCATTTCATAGATGTGGACACTCAGGCCCAGCGAAGGGTAGTGACTTGCCCAGGGCCACACAGCTGGCTACAGCAAAGTCATGAGCTGGATCCGTGGTTCCCCCTACAGTTGGCTCCACCCCCTACTCTCTAAATCTAAAACTGAGACTAGGTATCAACTCTGAAGTGCAGAGTGCTTGCCCCAGGCCCCTCTACCAGCTGGGGAAGTTCCTGTGTTCCTATCCCAAGCTGGTTTGCCTGTCTCCTGCTAAACACAGCAAAAGGTTGGAGTAAGAAGTCATATTATAGTACCTGAGATGATAGACATTAACCCTTCTGAAGAAAGTCCTAACTTTAACAAAGGGGAGGAGGGCTTGGCAGAATCTGGGAAGAATTTGCTCCAAGAGCTGGTGCTAGGGAGGGTGTGGTGCCAGCGTGCGTGGGACCCCTGCCCGTGGGCAGGGAGGGAGGACCCACCAGGGTGCGTGCTGGTGCATATGTGTGTGTGCAGGCAGAGGGCAGGTGGTGTAGACGTTCAGGAAGTACTGGACAGGAAGTTGGAATGCCAGGGTTCTCTCTGCCACCTGACACCCCGTGACCCTAGAACTTAACCTTCTGGAGCCTCAGTTTTCCCAGCTGCAAAATGGGAATGCTAAGAATATCTTTCACAGGGTTGTTAAGAAGATCTAGACAGGTAGATGTGAGTGATCTCCCAGGACAAATCATGAGGGATGTTCTGGGGGTGGTGCGTGTGAGCACCACCCCCTTGGGCCCTCGCTGGAGCTGGGGGTGTCAGGAAGCACTTGGTCTGGGGAAGGGAAGGACATGGAGAGCAGCTCCAAACCCCTTGCCTGCAACTTCCTTCCTTGCTTCCTTGGCTGCTTAAGGCAGCACTAAATCAGGTCACCACTTGTCTTTACTTTGCAGTAGCTGTCATGCAAACAGCTTCTCTGCCCAGCTCCCAATCCAGGTCATCTCTCCCACACCCCTCCCTTCCCCAGCAGCCAAGGAGACTACAGCTCAGTGCTTTTGTTCTTGAGTGCTGTTCATTAGACCCTGGCTGTGTGCCTGACACTAGGCCTATTGCTTTAAGGAGAAATAACAGGCACCCTTTGCAATACACCAGGCTCCATCATGAGATTATCTTTATTAGGGAGATATGATCACTTCTGTTTTATAAATGAGGAAACTGAGGTTCAGAAAAGGTAAGTATCTCAATCAAGGTCACTCAGCTGGCAAGTGCAGAGCCAAGGCTGAAACCTAGATCTGCCTGATTGCAGAGCCTGTGCTTTTAATCCCTGAGGTCCTGTGTTTAGACTGGAGGCAGAAGGCGTGGGTGAGAGCTGAGAGATCGGGGAGAGAAGGTGAGAGTCGCTCTGGGAGTAAGGTAATGTCTGAGGGGAGAATGTAAGATGGAGGAAGAGAGGAGGGGACAGGCCTGCAGTGCGATGGTGAAGCACACACTCACTTACCTAGATACGCACATCACACACACACACACACACACAAATGTGCCATAGACAGACACATACAACTTATGCAGATATGCTACACACACACAGATAGACAGCACACAGATATACCACACATAAAGGTAGAGAAGCCAACACAGATACTGACTGACATATACAAAGACTCACAGGACAGGCACACACATAAACACACGCATAAAAGACACACAGACCCAGAAATGCACACCATGTTGACACACATCAGAGGCACACACAGACCCAGTGACACTCAGACTCACATATGCATAGACACACTAACATGACAGCACCCACACACTGACACCCCCCCCCCACACACACATCCCGGAGGGAAGGGAAGGAAGAGCCAGGTCCTCCTCATTTCCCAGCCTCCCTCTCTAAGGCACAGGAAAAAGCCTTCTCCAGAAGTGCTGAGTCAGCAGCCGGTGACAAATGAGCCTCGGGGCGGGCACTTAGCATTCAGAGCGGAGCGTGTTTGTGGTCTGTTGTGCCAGCGCCAGCCCCAGGCCCATAAGATGGGGGCAGGGAGCAACGCCAGCTGCCTGCTCAGGGGGAGGCCCTAGGGAGGAAGTGACTCACTTTGACTTTGCAGCCCAAGGTCACGCAGCAGGCTTTGCCAGCCAGCCTTCTGCGGAGAGGCAGGGTGGGCTCTGGCTGGTGCTGGGCTAGCCAGCCTGGGAGGGGCTGGATACAGGTGGCTCTTCCTACTGACAAAAGAAATATGAGGAGAGGTCCCTTGGCTCTGAGAGTCCTCTCAGAAATGTCCAGGGCTGGCTCAGGGGCCTGAATCTGGGGGTGGAAGGGGGTGGTCCTTGGGGTCCTTCACAAACGCTCCTCTCCACTCCTTATCGCCATCACTGGAATCCAGTGAAAGGGGACACCCCAGAATGCCTGGGTGGCTACGGTTGCCTCTGCCGGCCTGGCTCCTCCGCCCTCGTGCCCCCTTAATTTATTCTTTAGGAAACAGCCAGTGAGATCTTTTCAAGACATCAATCACATGATTTCTTCTAATGGCTTCCTGCCTCGGCGTCAGTAACATCTTCCAAACGGGCCACTCTTGACCGGGAAGGGAGGAACTATTGAAAATGACACCAGGACAACACGTGTGAATAGGGGCTGTCCCAGGGACTCAGCCCTGCGCTGGGCTTGTTTCCACCGCAGAGCCTTTGTGCCACCCCCATCTTTGCACTGCTGACTCTGATCACAGCTTAAATGTCACCTCCTCAGTGAGACTGTCCTCCTGCCAGTCCTTCTCCACGTAGTAGTTCTGCTTTATGTCCTTCACAGCATTTACTGCTACCTGTGTTCATATATATATATATTTTGTTGACTCTTTTTTGTCTGTCCACTCCCCTCCCTCCATAAAAGCTTCTTGACAGTGACGACTTGTTGTTTTGTATGATCCTGCTGTGTCCCCAGTACCTAGAATAAGGCCTAGGACATAGTGGCACTCGGTAGCATTTAATATGTGACTGCACGAAGGAGGGGCAGGACTGAAAGGGAACACGAGGCTTCAAAGGGCAGCCTTGGGGAGGCACAGCAAGGACAGACACGGGCCTGGGTAGAGTGTTTGTGCGCAAGTCCATGGACCTGTGATGGGGAAAGCCACGGCCCCAGTAACCAGCAGGAAGGCTTCGGAGTGATCCAGACCTGGCTGAGAATTCCTGCCCTGTCCACTACTAGCTCTGTGTCTTTAGGCCAGTTATTTATCGAGAAAAATGAGAAGAAACACCACCTCTCTCCCAGGACGGCTCTGAGTCTCCTCCCAGATGTCACTTCCTCTCCATGCCAGCTCCTCAGACACACTTGGCTCTGTGGGAGAAACCAGAAGTAGGGAGTTCTTTTCCTTAAGGGTGTCTCAGAGGTGCCAGCCATGTATCCACTCCAGGTCCTGCCAAGCCCCGTGACTGCTTCCTCCCAGGTGGACAGAGATCGAGCAGGGCTCCCCGACCCAAAGCTGGGCCTCTGGGAACAGTGGGGGGAATCTGGCAGAATGGAAACACTACAAAGTGTTTGAATCCTGGCTCCGTGGCTCCGGTTCACCTCTGAGCTGGAGACGTTTGTGCTTTCATTTAACTCCTGTCTTCTCCATGCCCCCTGTCCTAGAATGAGGAACCAGTAAAATAACCAGGATGGTGCTTTGGTCCTTAGCTCTACTGAGGGAATATAAAGGGGTGTCATTAGTTGGAGGGTGGAGGGGAGCGCAGAAAGCTGCTGAGGCCCTTTCTCCCCATGCCCAGAGGGCCCTCAAGGGCCAATCTTTCTGACACTGCCTCCCAACCCTCACCTTACTTCTGTGAGCTGATCCTGGAGCCCCTGGCCTGGCTGTTCCTGCTTCTGTGGAGGAAACAGAAAGTGAAAGTGGCCCTGTGGAGGAGGTGGCCCGGAAGTGTGCCTTCTGCAGAGGGACCCCAGCAAGATAGGGCAGCACTTAGGCCCCCAGGCCACCTGCCCTGAGCTGCCTGCATAGCCTCTGACCTTTGCTGGGACTCCTTCCTGCCTCAGCCCTGGGCAGAGCAGCCTGACTGGGCAGTGAGAGGGTGACCTGAGGCCACTGTTCCTGTGTTCTGTCCCGACTCGACCTCGTGGGTGAGAGGAGGGAAGGGATGGACTGACAGCCAGGGATTGTCCCCATGGGATGGGTCAGAAGCTGGAGTGGCCGGCTCCCAGGTCAGGATGCTGCCTCAGCTGGGGCTTTCCTCTGTGGGCTCCCCACAGAGCTTCTCAAGGGCGTCCCTGGGAGGCCCAAGGTATGAGTGTGGGTGGAGGAAAGTGAAAGGAACAAGACAATAGCATCAGCCAACCTCAAGCGCTAACCGCGGGCCAGGCCTCATGCCAGGTGCTTTATCCACCTGGCAAAACACTGGGTGTCTCATAATCACACCCTGTGAAAACTGCCTGTGCCATTGGCCTGTCCCCATTCATCCATTTATTCAACAAATATTTTCTGAGCGCCCTCTGTGTGCCAGGCACTGTTTAGACACAAGGGACACAGCCATGGGAACAGATTAAAAAACAAAAACAAAAACAAAAACAAAAATGAAACCCTGGCCTTACATTCTAGAGGAGGGAAAATAGTCAACAACCAAAGGAAATTGGCGAACTGGTATATAAGATGGTGGTATGTGCTACGGAGGGAAAAATAAAGACGGGAAGGGGGGTGGGGGTACGAAGTGGGGATAGGTTTGTAATGTTAAGTAGAGAGGGTGGGTAAGGCCTTACTGAGAAGGTGGCACCGAATCGGATTCAGAAAGTCTCTTTAATTTGCAGAAAAGTCAAGGACATAGATATGATTATTATCATCCTGATGAAGGACAGGAAATCAAGCCCCAAGGATGAGTCCAAGGTCAAATGTCTGGGAAGTGGAAGAACTGAAATGTGAGCTCAGGCTCTGTCTGTGCCTGTAACCACCACATGATGTTGGGCAGAGAGAAGAGAAGACAGTACGGGAGGGAAAAGAGGAAATAAAAGGCTCATGGGGGCTTCGCAATGGTGGCCATCTGTTTTCCAAACTGAAAGTCAGGGTGAGATCTGAAAAAATTTTCCTGTTGCTCCTGATGAGAGTGGCCTTCTGGGAGAGGCGGTTTGGATGTTGGCCTGAAGGGTGGGATTTTGGAGACATTCCAGTGGCTTGTGGGGCCTGCAAGGCAGTCCTGGGGTAGGGCATCGCCATGGCAACCCCAGCCTGGCCTCAGGGCCAAGAGCCTGGTGCAGGGCCACATGGCAGGGAAGCTATGCTGAGCAAGGACAGAGACTCTGTGGGCCAAGAGGCAGCCAAAGGACAGCCAGGGCCCAGGAAACTGCAGAAAGGGAAGAGGGGCATGGCCTGCAGCCCATGTTCTGGGCTAGTTGGGAGGGTGGGATGGCAGGAAGCCCCCTGGCAGGAGTCCGAGAGTCAGGTGGGGCAAGATCTCAGGCTTTCCTGTTAGATAAGTCTGGGTTTGAATCCTTTTGCTCTTCGGCCCTGGGCAAGTGGAACAACTTTGATAACTTTGTTTCCCTATCTGTGAAATGGGGATAACAACTCACCTCACAGGATCTTTACAAAGATTACCATGTATTGAGATAAAATATGAATTGTTCTCTGCGTACTGCAGACCCAGTACATGATTACCGCTGTTTGCCTCCACCCAGCAGGTCGCTGGGGCTTTGCCAAGATGGTGAGCTGGGTGGAATGGGAAGAACTGTGGGGCTTGGGAAACGAATGACCCAGTCAACCAGGCCAGTTGTAGATTTCTAGCCAAGCTCTGCACGTGGGCTGGGGCTTGGTCAGCAACAAAAGAACAATACCCTTCCCAAACAGCTAGGCCCACAATGCAAGCCCTTCCCCCAGCTCCCAGCACTCTGCAGCCCCGGTCTACCCACACATCCCTGCTCTGGGGTCCTGGGGGCTCCAGGATCCACAGCACCTTCTGCTCGGGTGGGCAGCAAGGTACCCCCAAGTTGGAAAAGATGCACTCCCATTGTTCCTGCCAGATGACGCCTTCCTTTGTGCTGGCTGCCTAAGCCTTCAAGTAAACTCGTTGCTGCCCCCACGGCTGCGTCTGGAAAATTGTCATTCAAGAAGGGAAAGAAGCAGAAGAAACTTCAAAGATTTTTGCATCCGCCCCCACCTCCAAGGGCCGAACTTCATCCCTCTGGTCACGGCCCCACTGCAGAGTCAAGGACAGCTGGAATCTACCCCTCTTTAACCAATAGTTTACCGTGCGACCTTGACCATCCTCTCTGGACCTCCTTTCCTTCATTCGTAAAGTGAGAGTTTTAGATTAGATCATCTCTAAAGTTTAGTCATGACATCTAAATGATCGCATTCATCAATTCTTTTATTTGTTTGTTCATTTATTCATAGCATTTATCCCTTCCTGACACGGTATTGTTTCTGTTTGTTTGTTTATTTGTTTATTGTCTGTCTTACTCCACGCCGGCTCCATGAGGGAGGGGTTTTTGTCTGCTGTGTTAGTACTGTATCCCTGCCATCTATAAGAGGGCATAACATATAGTAGGAGCTTGCCTTCATCCTTGAAGGGAACAGAAGATTGCATGCTCAAACTGGGCGATCGAGGGGAGTTCCACAAGAGCACTACTGTATTTTTGAAGTTGTAAACAAGCTAAAGAGAACTAACAATGAATAGTGAGGCATCCAGGGCTCACAACAGGATAGGGGGGTGGGCCTAGCTGGGCTTTAGAAATGTAGGATGGGAACTGTGGCCTTTGGTAGAGCTGCTGCCAACCCGTCCGTGGTCCAGCGAGGAAGCGAGTGGTGAATACCCCACCTCATTCTCCTGCTGCCTCTAATTCCTCGCTGCAGTATCCCTTTGGCTGACTCCAGCGAGCTCCGTGACACAATCCTTAGAGGTCAGGCTCCAGGGCACAAAAGGGTGGAAAAGGGTGGACTGTGGATCTGGTGGGGGACGATGTGAAATGTTCGGCACACACACAGAAGCCATTTGCTGAGCACCTGATCTGTGTCAGAGATTGTACCCTGGAGACAAACATGCGACATGGAGATTTGCAGAGTAAGGTCTCTGCCCTCTAGGCAACACACATGCCTTGGCTGGATCTTGAAGACTCCCCTCTTCCCTCTGCCTAGGTGGGGGGGGGGGTGTCTCCCATCTATATCTTATTTGGGGGCAGCAAGTAGATAAATCAGTCTGATTTGCAAAATTATACTGACAAATAAAATAAGGGAGGCTGAGGGGTGAGGGGAGGGACAGGGTAGGTGGAGGGTCTGGAGGGTCTGGGTGATAGGAACTTGTTGCGGAGCTATGAACCAGCCCTCAGGAAGGTGACCTTGAACTTGTGGTTCAGGTCAGAGTATGAAGAGTTCAAATCCCACTCATTTGCTGTGTGGTCTTGGGCTTGTTCCTTAAAACCCCTGATTCTGTTTCATCATCTATAAAAGTGGGAGATAAATAGGACATAAGAATTTTGTGAGGATTAAACAGGAATCTGTGCGCAGGGTTTAGCACAGTGTCTGGGCACATGACGAACACTAGTATTATAATTAGAGACAAGGGCCACCCCCCAACACCATTCCATTTCTCAGACAAGGGATCTCCACCCCCTCTCCAGCTCCATTTAGTTCTGAATGTTTTAGGTCATTCTATGCCTGGCGTACTGCCAAGGCTCTGACAAAGACAGGAGTTTCTGCTCATTCATCCTAATGCAAGTTCCTGCGTTTATGATAATAGGGAAAAAAAATGCATGAAAGGGCTGGCTGCCTGTGGAGGGAAAATCTGCTTAGAATTGAAAATCTGAGTCCTTCCTTGGCCCAGCTTTCCCCTCCCAGCGCTTTGGCAAAGGCGGCAGAAGGGAGGGTGGCTGGGAGGAAGAGGAGGGGAGGAAGGGGTGGGGAGGAAGAGCTGGCCAAAGAGGATAGAGAGCGGTGGGGGGCAGGGGCGAGGCCCTGGCATGCCTGGGTGAATGGGTTTCAGGGTGGCTGAGGAAGCCTGCCAAAAAGGCAGAGTGAAAAGGCCAGGCCCGTGTGGCACTGCTCGCAGTTTCCATGACGACACCAGCTGCTGCCTGGCCCCTCCAATTGCTGGCTCCTTCTGCGGGGCCTCCACATGGTTACCTGGCTCTGTGAGGAGGAAAATTCTGACGGGTCTTCTTGGCCCAGTGTGCCACCAGCTAGTGCCACTGTGTTCTAGACACCGTGCTGCACTCCACAGGGAAGACTGGGTCCAGGGAGGGGCTGTTGGAACCTCTGGAGGCACATGCTTCATTCAGTCCAGCGTGGAGGGAGGGGCTACCAGCGGCCAGCCAGGCAGGACTGGGATGGGACAGGCTCTCAGAGGTCTGTGGGCCTTTGGGAGGGAATGGCGAGACCAGATGTGTTTGTTAAAGATGTCTGTGCCTACACAGGGCCTAGGGAGGGTGGATGACGTGATAGGATAGAGAGGCAAAGGGAAGCTATGCAGTAACCCAGGACAGGGACAGTGGCCTGGCCTAACACCTAGAGCTGTTTAAGAGGTAGAAGTGACTGCATTTGGTGCTTGGGCAGGAGAGGCTGATGAAATGGAGGAGTCTAGATATCTCCTCCCAGGGCAGCAGGTAGGTGGGGCTGTACTCCCCAAGACAGAAAACGGGGACTTGAGATATTTGAGGACTCCCCTGAACCATTCTTGTCTACTTTCTCCCCTACTCCAGAGACTACCAAGAACTTGGATCTTGGTGGGGATGTCCAAGTTTGATGAATGAATGAATAAATGAAAGGGAGAAAGGTCAGAAAGTGTGTGAAACCAATGAGAGAGAGATGTGCTCTACCCAAGTACACACTTGCCCCCAAATGTATACCACCCAAGGGAGCTCGTGCCGAGATGAGGCTGCCTTGACCTCTCGCACGCGACACACATCGTGTTGGACTTTGTCACCTAGATTTGTGATTGGTTTTGTTATTTTGGGTCATCTTAGCATCCAAATCAGGTATTACACATTTATTGCGGTTTGATTTTGCTTTTACTCACTGCAGAGCTGTGTCAGAGTGGAGCCCAGTTTCCTGCATCTACCTGTGAGAGTGGTGGCTTGGAGGTGCCCCCTCGTTTTAAGTAAGCAGATCCACTGGGTGGACATCTAACACAGAGGACCCAGCGGTGCTGACTTCACGCTCCAGAGAAGAAATTTCTGCAGCTTTCCTTTATGCAGCTGCCGGGCGCCTCTAAAGGGCTCAGTGGACACAGAGCTTCAAAGGGACACAGCTACCTGCATCATTTTTAACAGGAACTAGCTGGCCAAGGGTATGCGTTATTGGATCCCTCTCACTTACTCTCGCCTTCCTACCCATAGCATCTTGATACTTGGTGATAAAATGGGCTGGGGTGAGGGGAGTTCAAGAATATCATGCCCTGTGCTCACAATCCTTGGACCGCCCCTCTAATCGACTACCTCACTCACACTCTGCTCCCAAGACCCAGTTTTAGTATTTGCCATGCCCTTACCACCACCTGTAATTGTTTTGTTGTTTACTTGTTTATAACCAAATGTTCATTGTGTGAGTGAGTGTAAGGTCCTGGAAGCAAGGATTTCATCAATATTCTTTACCACTAAACTGTCAATCCCTAGCACAGTTTCCGGCTATGAGGAAGTGCTCGTTTTTGCAAAGGAATTACTAAGTGGATGAATGAATGGATGAACCATGAGAACTGGCCAGTTTTTCTTTTTTCTTTTTCTTTTCTTGGTTGACCTCACAGATTGCAAGGAACTTGTCAATTTACAATCCTTTATTTTTTATTTTATATTTTATTTTATTTTATTATTTTATTTTATTTTATTTTATTTTTTATGCCTATAGCACCTGGTCTTCCTAGGTGGTCTCCCATCCAAGTACTAACCAGGCCCAACCCTGCTTAGCTTCTGAGATCAGACGGGATCGGGGGTGTTCAGGGTGGCATGGCCGTAGTAGTTTTTCTTAAATGTATGTCTCCTCTGACGGGGTTCAGGACGCTTGGGTGTTTTTCATGCCCATCTCTCTGTTTCAAAGGAGGACTGGATTCCAAATACCATAGACTGGACAAGAGCAAGGGTATTATTTATATCCAACAAGTCTTCCCTGTGTGACTACAGACGTCAGGCCCAATGTAAGATGAGTAAGTACAGCCGTGGGCAAGAACAGGGTTCCTATTCTCATGGAGCTTACATGATAGTGTGGTAGACAGACAATAACATAACTGAATGAGTGAGAAAATACATTTTAAGTGGTATAGATGAAATGAAAAAGCTTATAACAGAGAATCTAATTTAGATAGGGCAGGCAGGGGAGATCTTCCTGAGAAGGTGATGCTCTGAGGCCTGAAGGTTCAGAAGGAGTTAGGCATGGGGAGAATTAATGGAATGAAGTTCTAGGGAGAAGGACCAGCAAGTGCAAAGGTCCTGAGGCAGGAAAAAGCTTGGCATGCTTCTTGAAGGCCAGTGGTCAGAGAGGTGGGGAGGAACTCAGTGTTGAGAGGCCTTATAGCCAATAGTAAGGAGTTTGTTTTTTATTTGAAGTGCAATTGACAACTGTTGTAAGGTTTACGCAGGTGAATGGTGCATGACAGGATCTGACTTATGCTCTGACTTCCAGGTAAAGAATAAATAGGGAGTGGGGTGAAAAGCAGGACCTGGAAGTGAGGAGCACTGTTAGAAAGTGAGAGATACGGGCTAACTTAGGCAGGTTAGGATGGACACCTGTAAGGATGGAGAAAAGTGGTTAGAAATGAGACCTGGCTGGGGGTGGGGTTGAGAGGACCTGTTCATGAGATGGGGTGGGGAGGGAATGAGATGAGTCTCTGCGATGCCCAGGTTTCTGGCCTGAAGAATCTAATAAACCTGTTAAATAATGTCCAGCTGCTGTCAAAGAAAGACCTTACATTTATTGGACATGTGAGAACCTTTCTTCCAGAGTCTACACAGGCTGGGCAGTAAAAGCTTCTGCTCCTGCTAATTAAATAAAAGGCCCTGTGTGAATGGCACCTGACCTGCAGGTGCCTTTGAGATGCAGTGTCATGGGGGCAGAGCTTGGGTAGCAGTATTATCAATCTATGCAGCATGGTTTTGAATCATTTAATTCTTTTCATGGCTATCCCCCAATTCTAGCATTTGAAAGCTGGGCCCGATCAGCTGAGAGACAGTGCTCTACCTTCTTGCAAAAAGGGGAGGAGCTTCGTGGCTCCAAAGGGCAGAAGCAGAGGATGACAAGCCCAAGGATGGAGATTCTAGCTCAACACAACAAGAATCAGAAATCAGAGCTTTCTCACAGGGATGAGCCTCCCATCACTAGATGTATTCAAGTAGAAGTTGTCAGGATGCACTTGGATGCACTTGGAGCTAGTCAACCAGGAGACTGAATTCCTCCAGCTTCCCTGCACCCCAGGAGGACAGCAGCTGCCTCCCATGGCCTGCACGAAAACCCTTCTGCTGGCCAGCTGAGGACAGCAGCTAAGTCACATTAAGCCTGCCCTGCTTGCTCTGGGTTTAACAATCTGTTTCCTCCCTGCCCGTGGCGGGGAGAAGAGCAAACCCCAGCGTGGGCGGAGCAGTGGGGCCTGGCCGATGCTGTCCAAGGCCTCCCAGCTTTTCAGGAAAGGGCATCTTTGTGTCTGTGAGGTATTGAAGCCAGTCATGGTGCCCTGAAACTCGTCCTCTCACAGTCTGGATTCCTGCAGGGACACTCCAAGGGCATCATGGGTATGAGGAGGGGGTGCTCTTGATTAAGCCATCTGAGCAACCCCAACTCCCCACCCCTGTTCCCAGCAGTACTCACCGGAAGAGCAGCAGTGCCCCTAGGTGGAGAGAACTCTACCCCTGGGAGTCCTCAAGGACCCGGGCCCACATGGCCAAGACACAGGCCACGGATGGGGAGTGGGCTACACTTCCAGAAGGCTCTGAATTCTGGCAGGCATGATTGCTTTGCCCCAGGCCTTGACCTCTCTAGCTGCTGGGGGTGGGGCGGGGGAGAATTGGCCTCTAGTGAGGGAAAACCAGCCCCAGGGAACTGGGCCACCACTCCTATCTGGGCTACCTCTGAGGACTTTAGTTTTTTCTTTGCATCTCTGATCCTCTGTTTCCCTAACTGAAAAATAGGGATATAAACATACCTATTTTCTGTGAGAATAGAGTGAAATGACGGACAGGACAGCCTAGCACTATCCTGGCATAGGATACGTGCTTAATAATGAGTTTTCTCCTGGAACTTTCTTTTTTCTCCATGCTCTCCCCTCCCTTACCTCTGTAAGACTAGAACTGCTCACCAGTGGAGGGAGGGGTGTGCTTACAGGGAGAACAGATCCTTCCTGGTCTGTAGGAGGCCTGCCTCTGCCAATAGGGCTGCAAACTTGTATTTTGTCAAAAATAATAATCATAGAGAAGGCAGGAGGGAGGGTCAGCCGTTGAGCTATGGGTCTGCTGCAGTGGCCACGGAGGGGGCAGGCTTGGCTGAGGTTTTCCCTCTACCCCTTGGCTGTGGCACCCCAGGGGGTGGAGTCTGGGATGGATCCTGGGCTTGGAGATAGCAGATTAGCATCCAGACTTCTCTGATTCGATTGGAGGCTCAGTTCAGCGCTGGGGGCCACCCTACAGGGGTGGAGTGGGCAGGGACCAGGGGCCTCTAGCTCTTCCAGCCAGCTGACCCTGTTATTTTTAGCTCTGGAATGTTCCTTTCAAGCCCCCTTCAGTTCTGTTTATCCTGCTTTTGCTCCCTGTTCCTCTCCAGGAAATTCTGCAGCAGGAGTAGGATAAACCAAGAGGGGAGGAGATTAGGGGTGGCAGAAACAATAGGAGAAATCCACTGGGGCTGTGGGAAGAGTGGGCACTGCTCCCTTCCCTACCTTCAGGTCCAGAGGCCCCCATTTCTGCCTTTCCGGTTTCCTGGGTTTGGGGCTACGAGGTTATCCCCTCCTTCCTCTCCACCACCACGGATATGACATGACCTCCATCGTGCTTGTCAGCCCAGGCCTGGGGCAGCCCCACCCTCTTACCTTTCCTTCTGGAAACTCGGGTGAGGTCATACTTAGGGTGGGCTGGGCAGGAAGGGTCAGCCCTTGGACCCGGCCCCTGGGTCCAGACACTCTGTGGACCCCTTGAAAGAACTCCTATGTGAAAATGCACAGCAGAGCAGTGGGCCTGGGGACAAAGGGTTGGTGTGAAGTCCAGAGATTGATTCGGTCCCCCTCTGCCTCCGTGTTTTCCTTTATAAAATGGGAATGACAGTAGTTTCTGTGGGGACATTGCTGTTGTGAGCACATGAAGTGTGAATAGAACGCACTATTGACACAGTGCCATTAGTCCTGGACGGGTCAGTCACATCCCCCAGAAGTGCATATGGGGTACTGATGGGGCTTGAGTCTCCTGCAGTGTTTTTGGAAACAATTGGAGCAAGCCATACCTGCCCACGAAGCCTCCCGCAGTCACTGCCGGGTGCTGAAGCTCTTGTTCAGGAGTGTGTCTCTCACCTACTCCTCACCCTCCTCCCTGCAACGCAGGGGTGCCGGTCGGTACTGATGCTGAAGGTAGGGGACCCCTGGTGCAAGGCCAGCTTGAGGAGAGGGCTTCTAAATTACACGCCTCCTGCCAGCCCCAATCACAGGCTCCAGAACTCATGGCCAGCAGAGGAGAGGGGACAGTAGCTGGAGCGGGAAGGAGCGGACGGGGAGGGGAGTATAATTTTGAAGCTTACGGAGATGATTTCCTGCCTGGGGCGGGCATGCTGTCTCTTGGGGTCCTTTCCTTTACGCCTCCTTATAGGAAACGTCCATCAGTCCCTAGGAGGGCCTGGGATCACCTGGAGCTGGAACTCAGGCAGAGACGCCTGGGTGGTCAGCAGTGAGCCTTGGTTGTCCTGAAGCTGAAGGAGCGGCAAGAGCATTCTGGCCTCTGGCTGCAGTCAGTGAGTCAGTCAATAAACAGCTCAGCTCCAGGCTTGGGGCTGTCTTGGAAAACTGTGTATAAAGGGGGAGGGGTGGGGCATGCCCAGGCCAATCTTGGGTGAGGGCAAGGAAGGCGGGGCGGGGGGTACCATCTGGGGCAACCACTGTCTCCCGGGCATGGGACTAACACCACTTAGAGGTGGAGAAGAGGCAGCAGCTGCCACATCCTGGGAGGGCACTGACCTTTAGAATCAGAGACAGAAATAGCCTGGGAGAGGACAGAACTTGTGTGAGAGATGTCAGGGCTGGGCAGGGCAGGCCCAAACAGGAGGAAGGGAGGAGAACCATGACAACACCAACAGCACCAGACCCTGCTGGGCATTTCACGTGCTTTCTCTTACTTACATCCCTCCTCTAGCCTGTGGGATGGGTATTTTCACCTCCATTTCACAGAGGAGACAATGGAGGCTCACAGAGGCGTGGCCAAGCTTGTGATGAACAGAGTTGAGATTGAGCCAAGTCCAGCTGTTCTGACGGTTCACTCCCCACATTGCCCAGTTACCATTGCCATCATGGGGTGGGGTGGGGTTCTCGCCGGAACCTGTCTTCACGGCTGGCCTGATGTGGGGGAAGAGGAGAACCCTTCACTGAGGCCTGGAGGCCTGGAGAGGTGAACCTCAACTACTTCTATTTACTGAATGACTCCAGGGCCCCACACCTTGGCGGCCTGTGACCAACTTGCCTTCTTCTCCTTGCTCACAGAAGGAGGGAGGGTCAGTGTTCTCCCACTGCTTCCCCCAAGTTGTGCTGGCTCAGGACTAGGCCAAGTCCCAGGAGACCCCTCCCCTGAGGCAGTGGCAAGGACAAGCTTTCAGGAAAGGCCCTAGCTCAAGTTGAGGTTTGGGAAGGCGAGAATAACAGGCTCAAAATAACCCGCTGACTGGCTGGCTGGCTCCCCTTTCTTCCTCCCCACTGACAGCTTCCCAGCCTGCAGCTCCCAGCTGTTTCTGCTTATCTGAAGCCAGGGAGGCTGGTTGCCTGGTTACCAGTGCTTCTGATTAGCAGTTGGGTGCTTCTGGGGCAGGCAGAGTGACTGAATCCCCAGCAGGCTGAGCTGGGCGTGGCATGCCCAGGCCCTCCTGAACCAGCTCTAGGAAAGGTGGCACAAGAGGATTCAGAGGCGACGTGGGGCATGCTTACAAAAGGACCCTCGCCTTGCCAGGGGTTGGCTCAAAAGGGCACTTTGGAGCCAGAGAATCTGGGCACTGCCTTGCTGGCTGTGTGATTGGTCACATTAACTTCTCTGAGCCTGTTTCTTTATCTGTGAAGAATAAGTACCTCCTGCCTCAAAGAGTAGTTTAAGAGTAAATGTGGTAATTAGATGAACACTTGGAGCATAGTTACTCGATGAGTTTACGTCCCTGCCCTGACTACTACATTTGGGCCCCTCTGGACCCTGCTCTGTGTGTGTGTGTGTGTGTGTGTGTGTGTGTGTGTGTGTGTGTGTCCTCCAGGGAAGCCGTGTGAGTCCTTGAGGCAGGCTACTGGGGATTCTCAGAGGAGGTAGGTAGCATCCCTCCTTCCTCCTTGCTTCAGGAGGAGGCCCTGCCACGCCTTCTTGGTGTCCCTAGTGCTCAGCTGGGCCTGGGGAGGCAGCCCAGGGATGGCTCAGGGAAGACTGGACAACAGAACAGGCACAGGGAGTGAGAGCAGCCCAAGGTGGCCTGTCACCAGCCCTGGGCCATGGGGGCAAAAACATGGCGAAGAGGATATGTTCTTCTGATTTCCTCAGGTCTAGTGGTCCCCAAAGGATCTCCTTCACTTGAAGGGCAGGCCCCAGGGCTGTGAGCAGGACAGGAGAAACCTGAGTCCACTCTGCAGGAAGGGCTTCTCCCAGGTTCACCTCTCAGCTCTCCCGAAACCGGCGGCAGAGCCCGGCCCAGGGAGCAGGCAGCGGGTCTGGAGGAGAAGCAGCAAATGGCAAAAGGGCCCCAGTGGCCCCGAGAGGCATGTGTGGCCATCACAGACTCTCTTCTTGACCCTTTTCACTTAAGAAAAGCGCAGAAGAGAAAAAGGAAGGTGGGAGGAGCAGGGAGGGGTCACCATTTCACCAGGGCCTTTACTTTTGTAGTCTGAGTGGAGCATGGTTTCCACCTGTGCCTGTCTGCAGCAGAGAGAGGGACCCATGAATAATGCGGAAAGAAGCCGGGCGGCTGGAAAATGCCTACTGTTTCATCACAGCCGGGAGCGGGGTCTTGAATACAAATGGAGGAGAGACGAGGGAAGGTGAGAGCTCAGTGCTGCCCTTGGCGTCTGGGCTGAGGGACTCACTGTCCGTCTGCTGGGCCCAGATCCTGACGCCAGCCTCTCGTGACATCCACAGCAGACTGGGCTCAACTACTGGGCCTTGCCCCAGGCCTGGCCTTTCAGCTAGCCCATCTGTCAGTAGCTTTCCAGAGGAGCTGGCCGGCAAGCTGGCGGAAGGAAGGCTTGGAGATGAACTTTCTTGGTGAAACTGTGAGAACTTCCAGCGTAGGGGGGATACACTTCCAGTAGCTTGAAATATGGGCCTTCTGAAGGAGGGGTATTGCTTAAGAGTCAAAGAGGAGAGTCAATCCTGGGGTGGGAGGTCGGTTTAGGGTAGGTCTGGGTAGAAAATCACCCACCTCTCCTCACAGGCAGAGCCATCTTGCCTTAGGAGGCCTCAAATTTACACCTCTGACTTTTTCCCTGAGTTCAGTGGGAATCTATGGAGGATTTTAACAGCACAGACCCAAGATCAGATCTGAGTGAGCAAATCTACTCAGGCTGCTAGGTGGAGACTGCAGAGTGGCCAGAAAATCTGGAAATGTGGATAGTGTTGTATCACGTCTCGTCATGGGAAATCAACACGCCATTTATCTTATACTTGCTTCTGTTTCCTGACTCGGTGGTTATGTTGTGATTTGGGAAAGAGAGAATGCAAGTGAGTTAAGGGACCGTCAGAGCAGTCCAGTGCGAGGCTGCGGTGGCGCAGGGCCGGGCAGCAGCTGCGGGTGGAAGGTAGAGGTAACTGCTCTGGGCAACCGACTCAGTGGGGGTGGGGTAGAGAGGCTGGGTGGATGGGGTTGGCTGTCATCCAGAAGAGAGGCATTGAGGCTTTGGAGCTGGGGGATGGAGGGAAGATGCTGTTTCTGAGATCCCCGTGAGACTACCAGTTGGCAGTTGAAAATCAGGTCAGGAGTTTGAGGATGGGCCCTGTGAATACAGATAAGCCTTTTTTGGGCTGCTTCCTGTTCTTGCCTCCCCCCAGCCTATAAGAAGAAAGGGGCCAGGTGAGGCTCTCTTAAAGTACTTCCAGCTGGCCCGGGGCCATGGGTAATTCTGTCACCTAGCACAGCCTCCCTGCCAGGAGGGGACCCACTGCTGCCTTTGCTCCTTTGACCTCTGAAGCCCAGGGCACCCGAGGCCTTTCTTCTCTGTGCCTGTAGCATGCCCCAAAAGGTTCTCCTGTGGGCAAACCCCCAGGAGAAAGGCTTCCTCCTCCTCCTACCTCCTTCTCTGCTAGCAAAAAGCCCTGAGGGGCTCAGGTGCCCTGGCAAGTCCTGAGGGGTGCCCTGGGGGGGTTGCCCCGGGTGGTGGAGTTGCGTGCCTGTCCCTTGGGGTGAGTGTTTATGTTCTCTGTTGCCTCCCAGCCCCCAGGGGCTCCTGGGCTTCTCTCAGGCTGACACCCAGCTCCACACACCTGTATCATGGAAGGGTTTCCCACAATTGTATCCCCAAACCGCATATGCATGAAAATAATCCAATTATAGGAGCAATCGCAGCCCAGAGAGAGGGAGAGCCCTGAGCAGCCCAAGGAGGGAAGGAAGGAAACGGGTTCAGCTGAGACTGGGGGGCAGGGAGAGAGAGAGCAGGCTGTCTGGAGAGGCCCAGAATTCAGGAAAAGGCCCAGAACAGTGGGGAGTCAGAGAGGCGGAGGCTCTGGGGCTGGCAGGAGGCAGTGTTCCAGGGACCTGGTGAAGACAGGTGCGTGTCAAGTCAAATGAGAAATAGAGGAAAGTGGACCAAAGGAATCTCTACAGGATGCAGAAAATACAGTCTCATTTATTCGCACATACTTCGTTTGTGTTCACACCTACCAGGCTCCAGGGAATATTCTGAAGATGCAGAGAAAGGACACAGTCCTGGTCCTAAAGCAGTTCACAGCTGTGAGGGGCAGAGACAGAGCAGAATAGGAAGCCCTGCCCAGGAGAGAAAGTTGTAAGGGTAGGGGGTCAGTGTCCTGAAGGTGGTGGACCCAGATGAATCTATCTGGAAGGAGAAGTAGCAGATATCTGGGACAGGAGTGGTCGTGCAAAGGCCCA